CATGCAGCGAGGGGATCCTCAATCGTCAACACTTCATCATCAGACTGTATGATTACATCCACGACATCAATAAGAGAGCAAATGGCGAACTCACTTGGTCGCCTCATAGATTTCTACACATTGAATATAATCTCTTCGTCATTGAGCCTCATCTTAAGTTCCCCGGTCTCACAATCAATAAGAGCTCTCCCTGTGGCCAAGAATGGTCTTCCTAAGAAGATAGGAATTTCTTCATCCACTTTGCAATCCAATATCACAAAATCTGCAGGGAACACGAATTTCCCCACCTGAATAAGTACATCATCAAGGATCCCAAATGGACGCTTCACAGTCATGTCAGCCAGCTGCAACAACATAGAGGTGGGTCTAGCTCTCCCAATGCCCAACTTTTTGTAAATGACCAGGGGCATAAGATTAATGTTGGCCCCTAAATCACAGAGTGCTTTCGCAAAAGCAAAGTTTCTAATAGTGCATGGAATAGTAAAACTCCCTGGATCAGAGAGTTTTTCAGCAACAGGTCTAGTTACCACTGCACTGCACGTCTGAGTAAGTGTCACAGTGGCCAAGTCTTGGAAGTCAAATTTCCGGGACATTAAGTCTTTCATCATTTTTGCGTATCCAGGCATCTCCTTTAAAGCTTCAATCAATGTAATATTAACCTGAATTTGCTTGAGCATCTCAAAGAACTTTTTGTACTGCTCCTCCTTTTGATGCTTGGCCAACCTCTGTGGAAATGGAGCAGGAGGTCTTTTATTTCCAATCACTTGGGACTTTTATTTCTCAGCTACTATCTCTACTACCGGCTCTTCAACTGCTTCAGCAACTTTCTTGGTCTCCTGCTGAGTATTCTTTTCTTCCTGAGCAGGCTGGATTGTCACATCTGTCAGCCTTGTGGAATCATCTAGCTCAATGGGTACCTGAATGAGTGTCTCAGCCTGTATATTGTCACGAGCTTTCTCCTGCTCTACATCAAGATCCTTACCATTACGGAGACTCACCGCCATCAGCTGCTTCGGGCCCTGATCTTTAGGATTGATTTGGGTATCTGCAGGTAGCGTCCCCTGAGGATGAATGTTCAGAGACATTGAAATTTGGCCCAATTGCACTTCAATATTTTTGATCGCTGCGTCATGTGCATCTACTTTTTCATTTACTTTTGCATTGGATCCAATAACCTGTTGCATCATTGCTTCAAGTCTAGTGAACCCTTCTTCTTGCCTTCCACNATTGGACCCAATCACCTGCTGCATCATTGCTTCAAGTCTTGTGAACCCATCTTCTTGCCTTCCACCATGCTGTTGCTGAGGTGGGAGATACCCTTGCTGTTGATTGTTGTACCCCTGTGACCTTGGATAAGGTGCCATATTGTTGGGGGGTCTCATACCTCCCATGTTTCCAGCGTTGTACTGTGGTTGAGGTGGTCTGTATGGCTGCTGAGTTTGCTGACCCCAGTTCTGATTGCCCTGTCTCTGGCCTCCATAGTTTGACACATAGTTCATGTCTTCAGGGTGCTGCTGATGATGATCATGTTCTGCATTCCAAGGATTACCCATTGGCTGACTGATGCAAGATGTGCAAAAGCCCCCATTGGTAGTATCTACAATGTGCACTTGTTGTTTCTGCCCTTATTCCTCCACCTTTTTGGTGAGTATGCTCATCTGTGTCAAGAGTGTCGCCACATTTTCAGCCATAGAATTTGATAGGTCAAAAGGCACTGAGTGCACCACTGGAGTGATGGGTGCATTCCTCGTCGTCCACCCCGAATTTTGAGCCATTTTTTCAAGCAGACTCTGACCTTCTCTCCAGGTTTTGCTAAAAAATGCCCCACCAGCTGAGGCATCTACAATATTCTTCATGCTATCTGACAGTCCCATGTAAAACCGTTGTCCTAATATCTGATCTGGAATACCATGGTGTGGACATATAACCAACATTCCTTTAAATTGGCTCCATGTCTCATGCAGTGTCTCCATTGGTTTCTGTTTAAAACTCACGATCTCATCAATTTGTTGAGCTATTTTGTTGGGTGGGTGGAACTTGATGTGAAATTGCTTGACTAACTCATCCCAAGTTTCTATAGAGTTTATAGGGAGTGAGTTTAGCCAGACTTGAGCAGCTCCTGTCACCAAAAATGGAAATAATAGCAACCTGATTGCTTCCGGAGTTACGTTGGGTTGCCTTTGAGTTTTGCAA